CTACTTGGCTGGTCTTGTGTGTGCTCACACTGCAGCCCCATGTTATCTTTCCAAAATGCAGATCTAATCCTGTACTTCTGGAATCCTTCAATGATTTCTCCTTGCTCTCAGGAAAAGTTTAAACTCTTTAGTATAACCTACTATACTGTCACTCCTGTCTGTCAAGCCCTCCTCACCAGGCCTAAATGTAGTTAAGAAAAAAACCCCTATCTCCAGGGAAAGTTAGATTACTTTATGTTGCTCCTTCAGTGCCCTGTACATTCACTCTCTGGTGCATTCATCCATCTATCCATCATCTACAGAGCACCAACTTCATGCCCGACACTCTTCTGTGCACCAAGGAGATAACTATGGGCAAAATAGTCTGCTCTCATGCAATCCATTTCCAGATGGGGACACAGACAGTAAAATATAAACACATGAAGACAATTAAATTAGGGAAATGGCATAGAAAGCAACTTGGTGGTGATTAAATTAGGGACTCAGGGATAGGCCTTTCTGGAAAGATCACAGATGAACCAAGAAAAAAGTCATGAGAAGAAGAGGCCGCATGAAAATCTAGGAAAACAAGGTTCCCTAGTACCGAGAATGACAAATTCAAAGGCCCTTGAGAGCTGGGCGTGGTGGTGCACACCTCTAATCCCAGCATTTAGGGAGGCTGAGACAGTAGGACTGCAAATTCAAGCCCAGCTCCTGCAACTACTGACTTAGGGAGGTGCTATCTCAGAGAGGGAGGGAGAGGAAGAGAGAGGGAGGGAGAGGAAGGGGGGGGGACGAAGAAAGAGAAAGAAAGAGAAAGAAAAAAAGAAGGAAAGAAAGAGAAAGCAAGCAAGCAAGTGAGCCCTCTGAGACTGTGAGGTGGGAATAAAACATTTGAGGGATGAGCAGAAGGCAAGCCAGAGTTCTGAAGTCACAAAAGGAGAGAAAATGATAGGGAGAACCAGGAGATGGGCTGGAGAGGGCTATAGAGGCCAAGTTAGGCATTTAGATTTTACTTTTATTGCAGTGGAAAGGCATCAGAGGCCTTTAAATAGGGCTGAAGGATGTTATGGCAGCTGGTGAGGAAAAAGATTGTAGACAGGCCAAGAGCAGAGGTATATTCCTGGGTGGAAGGCCTGTGTCTTGAATGGGGTTTTATCACAGGAGATGAAGGGATGTGTTCTGTTTGGGATATTTCCAAAATGGAGAATTCTGCTTGGTGGGTGTTTGATTCTGTGACCCTATTTTTTAGAAGAAAGAAACTCCTTTCTTTTCTTTTCCTTTTTTTTTCTCTCTCGTGTTGGGGACTGAACCTAGGGCCTTGTGTATGCTAGACACACATTCTACCATAGAGCTATATCCCCAGTCCTTTTTATTTTTTGAGATAGGGTCACACTAAGTTGCTTGGGCTAACTTTAAACTTTCAGTCCTCCTGCCTCAGATTTCTGAGTAGCTGGAATTACAGGCCTGTGAGCATGAAGGGAACAAACAGAGAAATAAATAACAGCTGCGGTGGTCTGGGAAGTCTTCAGGATAAAAGTGAGATTTGTTCTGTAACTTAAAAGATGAGTAAAATGCCAAGTGGTAGTGAATGGATGTGTGGAGAAAGTGAGCCCCTAACATTTGCAAGCCTGGGCAGGAGTCCAAATGAAACCCACATACCTCTTGTCTTAACATATTAAAGTCATAAGTCAAACTCCAGACTATTAAATAAAATGTGTTCTATCGATTTTGTAGTTATAAATTAAGCCAGCAGATGGTTTATACATGTCCTATCCTTTTACCTTGGCAAATATCCTGTATCATTGCCAGATTCAGATTTGGACTCCTTAAATTCCTCAGAGTTTTGGAACTTGGGACACAGCCCGGGGCATGAGACAGGTCCTTTTCTTTTCTCACCCCAGCCCCCCTGTACTTCAAGGAGCCTCAGATACGCTCAGTGAATGTTCCAGCCTGCAAGTCAAAGCTCATTCCACTAGGCAGGCCAAGAAAGCTGCTGTTGGGTTGTTGGGCAGGTAATGCTGGTTCCCAGGTATCCAGAGTAAGGACTAGACTGAAGGGAGTGGGCTCAGGGTTCGTACATGCCCTTGGCCCTGCCAGTTCTTTACCCCAGAAGCAGGCATCCCCCACGCCAAAGCAGAGTCCCCTAAAGTTGAGCCAGAGTGAGGGCCGGTCTTGCAGGTGAGAAACATGGGATGTGTTAAGAAACTAGAGACATACCAGTTTGTGTGTAGCAGGTAATTCATGTAGCTGAGTAGGGATCATATCATAGAAACACAGACTTTGAGGATAAATAATTTAACCTTGGGCCATACAGGCAATGCAGAGTTCAGAATACTTTACTTGTGTGCAGGGTGAATGAATGAGAAAAATTGGAGCAAAACCAAAGAGATTGGCAAAGTTACTGCAAAGCTTGGGTCATGAAGTGATCAGAACAGAAAACAGAGAGAAGGGAATTCATGGCATTCCTCTAAAGTGGAGACAATCAATTAGATGCAGGGAGATGAGAAAATGGGCTAAAGACTGGTTTGCAAGATAAGAGGTGGCTGATTATCTGGTTCCTGGCAAATCTCTTCTCCCTCCGAGATGTTGAGATCCTGCACAGCTATGCTTTGGACACAGTTCCTGTAACCAAAGCCAAGCTGGTCTTGCCAGGTCTCCTATGAACTTGAATTCCTCCACTTTAAGGTCTTTTCAAGCACTGCCCCCTTCTCACAGCACCCTGCTCTACCACTTTCAGGCTCGGCCTGAAAATGCAGCTTTAGCTTACAGTCATGTTTATTTCCCATTGGGAGGGGAAGGGTGCTGAACTTATAAAAATGTAGGATTGTGAAGGAAAGGCTAAACAAATGCTTTTTGAGGCAGGCACGTGGGTTGTGGTCAGAGAAGGTGAAATTCAGCATTGAGAGGCTTCAGAAGAGGTGACCTGGGCAGTATGGAATCAGGCTCCCTGGATTTAAAATCCCATCTCTATGACCTGGGAAGTCCTGGCAGAACTTCTTCCCCTGCCAGCTTCTGTCTGTTTTCAGTCCTGATACAGATGCCAGGTGGGGGCAGGAGGGTTCCCTCCAAGGTGCCAGCACCAGGGCTCTGCCCACTTCTCCAGGGAGGTGAGAATACAGCCAGGGAGTTTTGGCTGCAAAAGGCAGCCCCCCCATCCTGCTCCATGCCTTTAGAAGGCAGTGTGGGACAGAATGAAGTTCAAAGAATTTCCTACAAAAGAAAACGAGGCCTGTAGATTTGTGTGAGTCCATTTAAAAAAGAACAGTCTTATATTTCCATATTGCACTATAAAGCAACTTTTGGCAAAAAACCTCTGTAGTCTCTAAGTTATGTTTCTCATGCAGGCTCTTATTGTGACCATCTGTGGCAGTGTGCTAACTAGGTGTTTGTCACTAGTCCTTTGCTCCTCTTCTTCCTTCCACCGTTGCTTGGCAGCTGAGTTTGTTTTTCATTTCAATCAGTGGCACACAATTTCTAGCAGATGTTTTCAAAAGTGCTTGACTTTTAAGCAGAGTGTACGGGGAGTAGCCTCTTCACGGCACCACTACACTCAGCCCCAAATCTGGCTTGCAAATGAAGGTTCTGGGGTCCTCAGCAGCCTGGGAGCAGGGCCTCCCAAGCTATGAGTGCAGCATAACCTTGGCGTGTTTCTCAGGGCTGTTAGAGTTGGACCTGTCCTGGAAGCAACTTAGCATTTTACCCCTGCTGTTTGCTGAGGGATATAGGCCTAACACTGACAGATGGGTTGACAGGCTTTAGTTTCACTGGACCTGTGTCTGAACTCTGTCTCCACCACATGCTCTGTGTCTGAGATGTTGGACAATCCTCTTAGTCTTTTCTGTAAACTGGGGATAAGAATGGAACAGCACATCCAAGGCTACTAAGTAGAGGACATGTGATAATGGGCTAAAGCACTCTGTTTCCATAACTGCCACTGAGTTATTGAATGTCACTGGGTAAGCCCTCAGTGTGTGCCAAACAGAATTATTACCATCTAGATTTTTAAAACTCTTACAACAATCCTATGATGTGAATATTATTATTATGGTGTTAGGGACAAGGCATAGAGAAGTAAAGTAACTTCCCCAAAGTGGCACATTGGTTTGGCTCCAGAGTTTCTCTAAGCTGCTATTTAGTGTTAGCTGAGGCTGGGCATTCCTTTTTTTTTTTTTGGTACCGGGGATCAAACTCAGGACCTTGCGCTTGCAAGGCAGGCAGCGGAACCACTGAGCTAAATCCCCGGCCCTGGGCATTCCTTAATACATGGTGTGTACTCTGTGTTGTGTACCAAGGTAAATCCTTTGCAGCGCTGAGTGGGCCTGACTGGTCATCTCACATCAGTGTTCTCTGATGCCAGCGGGCTTCTTGGGAGCACATGAGTTGGATGCCATGTGTCCTCACTAGCCTGTTATTTCTTTGTTTTTGTTCCTGGTATTATAATAATAATATCACTTGCCACTGAAAGTAATTTAATATACTTCACGCTTTTTTCCCCCTGCAACCACAAGTATTATAATAATAAAAAGTTACTAAAATGAATAAATACTAAAAACCCAATTTGGACAAGCACAAGGAAGTACAGAAGGCCATGCAAACAAAAAAATCTTGGCATTTGTCTTTAGAAAATAAAAGCACTAGGAAAAAAAGCTAAAAAAGTGGTAATAGTATATGTGGTAAAGTAATACTGCAAATTCCTTCATGTTATCCATATTCTGGAAAATCATGGGCCAGGATCCATATTAGGAGGTATTACTGGTTATAGTTCTGCCAGGAAAAAAATTTTTTTTTGAAGTAAGGTATTTTCTGGTAGTTCTACCCACCCAAATACAATTTTAGTAACATGGGAAAGTCTGGGCATGCTACGTAGGTTGATTCTACCTGATTTTAAATTTGGACCTTTCATCTGGAGATACAATGAAACTATAGCAAACTTATCATCAGTAGTAAGATGTTCAGTAAAATCTTGTTTAAAAAAAGTCTCAGTTTTAAATGCTTCCAGCTATTACAATTTTCCTTACCAGCAGCCATGGAGAAAGATTGCCTGGAAAAATGTGTATATTCTTGTTAAAGGCAGCTCCTCTCTCCTCCAGAGCACCTATCCAAAATAGAAGAAACACTAGGGCTGGAAGTGAAGCTCAGTGTTACAGCACTCGCCTAACATGCACAGGCCCCTGAGTTCAATTCCGAGCCACACAAAAAAAGAAAGGAAAAAAAAAAGTCCTCAGCATTAGCTTTTGTTGTGCCAAGTTGCAAGGACATATTTACCATGATTTAAACATAGCAAGTCTCATCAGGGTTTTTTTTTTTTTTTCCCTTCAGAATCTCTGCCTCAGTGAGATTCACATTTTGAAATTTTATGAAGTTCTCACATAACTAAGATTTGCACCCTTTGGCCAAAGTAGGAAAACTATTGATTGGTTTTCTACCTGTTTCCAAGTAGGGTGATTTTTTTTCAAACATTTCAGTTGGACTTTGACAGGTGGTTTTAGGCTCAGAGCTATTTAGGGCTGACAAAACATCAAGCAGGGCCAGCAGTCCTCTCCACTGATGGCCTGCCCTGTGTTCTCAGGGTCTTCAGTCCAACTCTGCAGAGGAAGAGACAGCGTGACAGAAACCCTGGTGATGACCCCAGATGAACCAGGCATCTGGGATCCTGGGAAAAAGGATGTGGAGGATGGGCCTGCCTGACTCCCAGCATGCTTTGTTTTGGAGCAAATTTTCCAGACCCAGCCCGTGATGACCACAGGGCCAGGCAGAAAAGAAAAGGCGTAAGGTGTAGCCAGGTGCAATGAGCACAATCATTTCCTTTGTCTCCCTGCACAGTTCAGCTGAGTAGGAGCCCCTACAGGCTGCTATATAGTAGGAAAAAAAAGCTATTCCTAATGGAGACTTGAAATCTCACTTTTTAGGCAAAACACTATGGCGACAGGAAAGTCACCTCCCCTCTCCATCAATGCATGAATTTTCTGATTTTTCAGAATTGGGAGACATACCACATATACAGCTTGGCATATCGTGGGACTCTGTTGAATTTAGGCTGAACTGCTGGAGTTAGAATTTGTGAAAGAATAGAGCTGGGAAATCATTATTATTCTGAGCGATAACGTTGATGATAGCAAACATACTGAATTTAGACACTGTGTTAAGCGCTTTATGTGCATTATCTCAATCCTAAAAACTCCCGTTTGGGGATAATCCTATTTATAATCCCAGAGAAAGAGGCACAGAGAGATGAGCCAATTTATCGATAGCCTCTACAGACATGCAGCTGATGAGCGATGGATTCAAGATCTAAATCAAAGCTGGATTAATTCTAGAGACCAAGAACTTAACCATTTTTGCTAAACTGAATTTATCACTTAATCTTATATATTAACACAGGGAAATGAGGGACATACAAGCATTTTTCACAAACATGCCTGTTTTGTAACTTCACGTTCAAATTGCATGCACCATCAGTTTCTATCAATTACTGTACACATACAAATCAGAAACAGCTCAGCCCAGTGTCGTGAGCCATGGATACCCCTGTCAGACAAAAAGCTAGCCTGGAATATATTGCACTTGGTGTTAAGTGACAGAACTGTCATAAAGGTAATCATGTAAAAAAACAAAATCTGCCATTATCAACTTTTTGAATTTTTGAAAAGGAGTTCGTTTTTGCTCTGGCTAATGACAAGCACACTTCTTCTATTCATCATTTCCAGTTTTACACTCTTGGGAGAAGGTTATCATAACTATCAAACCAGAGATATAAAAGACTAGGAAACATTTAGTTTTAGAAAATAATGGCTTATAACCCTAGTAAATCAAAAGAGCAAGGGGGAAATAAACAAGACAGTTAAGATGCCAGCTGGAGATTCTTTATGGTTGGGCCTTGACAGTGGTTTGCAAGTTTTAGTATCACAGATGATGAAAAGGAATCTGCCTAGGAGATCCAGAGTCTCCCAGCACATACAGACAAAAGATAACTATACAATCCTGGAATGAAAAGGGACCTCTAATGTAACCCTTGCGTTCTGGGCTGGCCAGTTGGTTGTTTATAAAACAGAGGGCAACAGAAGAGTGAGGGCTTAACAATACCTGTATGGGCAATTTTCTCGACATGAAGGAATAATCACCTCCCACCCCCAGCTTCTTCCAACACACACATACACACACACACACACACACACACACACACCCCCTACTCACATACCCTTTTGGTCAGGAAAGGCCAGGCTCCTATAGCAATTATATTTAAACTGAATCACTGAATTGTATTAATTGAAATGATCTCTGGTCTTTAAAGTTGAACTTGGCTATTAATTTTGTCATGGGAAATGTACTTACTCCCCAAGAGCCTGGAATTAATATTCTAAATCTGGGGTCATGGACACAATCCTCGGAAACAACATGAGGAATTTTGACTGTGGAGTCATGCCTGCAGTCTCCTGTGGAGAGGGCTCAGAGCTTTCATCCAGCATGGTGAACAATCTGAGAGTTCTTCAGGTTCAAAGCACCTGGTCTGGAGGTGCTCTGATGTCTCCAGAAGATTTGATGCTCCAAAGATCGCTGCAACCCAACATTTCTAGAACTTCTTGCTAATAGGAAATTCTAGCTCTGCAGTTGTTCTTTTTCAAAAAAATAAAACCCAAAGCATCCATGAGGAGGTAGGGGGCAGGGGCAAGAGAGGATAAGGCACAGAGAACCATGAGTTCTCTTGAAAAGTGTCCTGGAGTTACTTTTCTGCTGGGTCACTGCTTGCCACTTTACAGTCCCTACTGGTACCATGCGTGGGGGAGAGTATTTTGAGTTCAAGATGCACACTCTTACTTTATACTGGTTGTGGGATTTTGTCCAAATAATTATTTCTCCCAATCCAACTTTTTAAACCTATAAAGTGGGGAAGATAAGACTTGCCTTTTAGGATTTCTGTGACAATTAAATGAGATAATGAGATAATGCAGAATTTTGTGCAGGATATATAGTCCTGTCTGAAACCCTTGGGACCAGATGTGTTTTGAAATTTAGAATTTGAGATTTCAGGAGTACATTGTCTTATCCTTTAAGTTATTTCATATTGCCAGTATTATCCATAATCAAATATCTGAGCCTTTCTACAGTAAAACTATGAATAGTCACAGTAAGAGGAATTAGTCACGATTACAGACAACCTTACATCACTTCAGGACAGGTTCTGTCACTGAAATGTTCACTTTTCAAGTGTCTTCGACTTTGAGATTGAGAATAAGCAAGTGTACACCTGTCTTTCCTCTTCTGCTGCTACTTTCTTTGGTTCCCAAAGTCCGATTTCTTCATCATTGTGGAGTCACTGTCCAGGTTTGTCCTCAGATTTACCTCTCCTGGCATCAGTGCCAAGTGGGCCCCATGGCCTAACCCAGGTCACCCCGGTGTTTCTCTCACCTTTATGCTCATTTGAATGTGCTCCATGTGGCCTGGTGGTCCTCTCCTGCTGGCAGTCTGGGTGAAGAAGTCTTTTTTCTTGGCTTTTGTTTAACTTCTAGTTCCTGCCCCAGATCTCCTATTCTAGGGGCGGTCTGATGTCTAATATATCCTCAGGGAGCTTATGAGAATACTTGTTGTGATACTGGTTGGTTCCCTGGTTAGAAGAAGGAACATTCTTTCCCTGGAGATGAGGTGGGACATTCCTCAATCCCACTCAGGTGTGCCCAAGAGCTGCTACAGCAGCAGACAGTGACGCACCAAATCCACTCTTTGCTGCTCTCCCCATTTCAGAGTGCTCTAGAGAATGAATGTAGGCTCCAATAGCACCATAACAGCCGAGGGAGACACTTCCACAGGCATGGTGACTGTCACAGCAAATGGCAGCTGTTGAAGCCCACCCAAATTACATCCTGTGGCTGTGGAGGTCTCATGGTTTGGTACTGGTGCAATGGAAAGAGCATGAGGAGACAGATGTATGAAGGTCTGGTTTCTGCTTCTTTCCAAGACTGTGTGACCATGGGGGAGTTACTTTAAGTTTTCTGAACTTCAGCTGTAAAGTGGGGTCTGGGGCTATCTATGATCAGGAGAATGTGAGAGAATCCATGGAGATGCCCTGATAAATTCCAATCTTTCCTTTAGGGGCCTTCCAGAGGCTTTCCTTGAGCCATCTAGGATATCCTTGAAGAGTGGGGACATGTCTTCTCTTTGTATTTAGTTCTAGCACAGGGTTTGATTCACAACAGATGTGTAATAAACTGTCAATAAGTGAATAAAGAATGCAATTGTTTCTGAGATTGGTAGCACACAGTCTCTTGTAATTCCAATATCCTCAATTGGATAAGAGGCCATGAGTTATAGCTTCTGGTCCAAGTCTCCATATTTTCCTTGGATGCAGATAACAGTATTTCACTGCCACCCACTCTTCACTTAATATTGTTTTCTTTTTTAATGGAACTTTAAGTTTTATAGATTGAGCAATAATATCTTAATAATTTCAAGACAGGTTCTTTTAAGAGAGTTATATGTGATAAAAAAGGTTCTTTTAGAGTAAGATGAGGAGATCTACCATAAGTCAGTAACTTTTTAGTATGCCTCAATTATTAATTAAAGCTTAAATTAACCCTAACATTCCCTTGAATTCAAGCATATTATAATGACCAAATTAACCCTGAAAGCTTTGTCAAACCCCAAGATTAACTGAAGATTTCACATGGGGTTTGAAAATGAAGATCTGTTCAATTTAAAAGCTTATTCTAGCAGCTCTATGATTGATTATTCTCCTACTCTCTTGGACTAGAAAAGAAACCAGGTTACCACTAACTTATTAATGTAGAAAGCAATGATATAATTTTTATAGCATTTTCAGTTGGCCTTACTTCCTGTATCTATAAAAGGGGCACCAGTGGCTTTGCCAGGCTGAAGAGATGCGCCCAGGCAGAAGGTGTGGCCAATGTGACAAGCTGAAGCTCGTGGATGGATGCTACTGTGACATAGTGCAAAGGCTCCCTTCAGGGCTCATTTTTCATATTTCCAATATGTAGTCTAGTAGTAAACAAGAATGAGCAAAAAACAAGGGTTTTGGTCATGATCTTTTTTCTTTTCTGCCTGATGCTAATTTTCACCATTTCTGAAAGGAGGGGCCAGGTGATACAGTGTGTGTGTGTGTTTTCTTGTAGTACACTATTTTGTGCATGTGCTTATACTAGAACCTATACTAGAGTAAAATCAAAGACAGTCTCCAGAGCAATCACTGTGGCCAGAATCTGAGTAAGAGAGGAGATTGGAGAGGGAAAGGCGCCACAGTTAGATGAGAATGGAGCAGTGCAGCTTGGAAGAGTGAGGTGTACTGGCTGGGAAACTCTTTTACCACCCTGACAGGTTATAATGCATCTTTCCCTGGGACCACACAGAGGTCTGCTGGCAAAAAAAAAAAAAAAAAAAAAAATGCTGCTGAAGTTTGAGATATGAGGTGTGATCAAACAATATGGTGAATGTTTCAAATTTGAAATTTGTTGCGGTAAAAGATACATTGCCATTAATCCTTCTCAAAATAACCCCCTTCACTTCGAATACACTTATCCCATCACCCTTGCCCCTTTCTGAAGCAGTTTTGGAAGTACTCTTTTGTGAATACCTTTTTGTGGCTGCCTTGATGTCTTGGATCAATTCAAAATGTTTATAGCAATTTCTGTCAAATAAAAACACTGTAGTGTGTCCTTATTCACTTTATTCACCAGATCTGGTGCCATGCAACTTCTGGTTCTTCCTCAAAATCAAAATGATCATGAAAAGTGCACATTTTGAATAAATTTAGGACATCCAGGCAGCCACAAAAGTGCAGCTTAAGACAAAAAAGACTGCCAGAACTGCTTCAGAAAAAGGCAAGAACGATTGGGAAAAGTGAGTTTAAAGCAAGGGGGAGTATTTTGAGAAGGACTGATGGCAATGTGTCTTTTAGTGTAATAAATTTTAATTGAAACATTCGCAGTATTTTTTATCACACAGCACATAGAGAGGACAGATGCTTCATGCAATGACAACCTGTGAGGATAAAGTGAGGAACAAAGATGCATAAATTCCTCGCACTTGGCCTGTATGACCAACACTCGTTCCAGGATTTAGGAACACGTGTACATTTAATTTAACCAAGCCCTGCGTGCTCCTCCCTATGAAAGGGAAAATCTTTCTTGCTTTATATTTTCTGTACGTTCCCTTACTTCATTCAATACAATTCAAGTTTTACTTGGGCAGAAGCACATGGTCACACAGATGCATCTACCTGATCTCTTCTGATGAGAGGAGTGTGCAAGATGGGAGCAAGCAGACCCAGCCTCTGATTAATATTTCAGTCACAGGAGAGGCATTCGGCTGCAAAATGAAGGCATATTAAGGAGTCGCTCCCAGACAAATGCATCTTGTGAATTCATCTTAAGTCATCTGACATCCGATTCACATGGAATCAAAACTCAGGTGATTTATACATTTGCATTAGGTTCTATTAATATTAATGGGAAATGTGTATGTGTATCAATACACGTTTATTAGTGAAGACAGATTCCCTGAAGGGTTTCTGCTTTGGGGAGAAAGCTACTATTATTTGCACCTTTTCCACAGTGGAAATAAAATTGCACCCATTAAAAAAGCGTTCAATACTCCATGCTCAGCAGAAAAAGACTTCATTCTTAAAAGATGCAAATAAAACTATATTTTATATTTGTAATGAAAAGCATATAACAAATTGCCATGTCTTATTCCTGCTATTTGTAATTTGCTATTGAGGGTTTATTTTTATTATCAATGATTTTCAGTAATTTCTGTGTGGTGGAAAATAGCATCTTCCCAGTCATTTAAAGCCATGTCAAAGATGATGAAAAAGGCATAATCTGGCAGTGATTTGTTCAGAAGGTATCCATGAAGTAAAATAATAAGTTGTGTCATAAAAGACAAAGAAAGGAAAAGCCAAAATTGTCTGCTATTTCTCTTTCTAAGGGGAAAGAGTTTAAGTCAAAATAGAGGCAATAAGAATGCCAGAATTTATTATCATTGTATCAGTAATGATGCCTATAGCTGCTAATAAAAGAAGACTCAATTCAAAATGGTGTAACCTGCTAGGAGGCTTATTGTTGCACAAAGTCCAGATTGCTTCAGAGTTAATTCTATTCTGCTGCCTACCATGTTCTACTGTGCCAAGGAGGACCCAGCCCACCCCTCCTCTATACCATCCTCAGGTCGTTGTTTTCAAGGATGAAAAATGGCAGCTACACCTTCCGGCTTCAGCTGTAGACCCAACAATGCCAATGGAGACAGAAGGGTTGTCTCCTATGCCTCTCTTTTTGTTAGTAGGAAAGTTTTTCTAAACATTCTTTTCACCAACTTCCCTTAGCACTGAAAATTGGCTGGCTGTAATGGTTTGAATATGGGCTCCCTCCTTCCCCAAGCTCATACAGGAGTATACACCTTAAAGTCATGTTAATGGTATTAAGAGGGTGGAGACTTAATAGGACTATGGTGTTTGGAATAGTGCTCAAATGATGGAATCCTGGTGGCTTTATAAGCACAGGAAGAGACACACACAGACACAGCACAGATACAAAAACATGTATGCTCTCTGCCTCTTGCCTCATGGTGTTCTGTGCTGCCTCAGGACTGTGAGAAACAAAAAAGCTATCACCAGATATGGCCTGTAGTCCTTACACATCCAAAACTATCAGCCAAAATAAGTCTATTTTGATTATAAAGTATTTTGCCTCAGATATTTCATTATAGTAACAAAAAGCTAGCAAATACACAACTGTTAGAGTATGTCCCTCTTCCCAAATCACTAAGTGATGTTCCACGATTGGCTTAGAAAATCAGTTTTAACATTCCATTCTATCCCATTCCATATATGGTCACCATTCCCGAGATACTTGACACTACAGAAAATGGGGACTCGGTTGGTAAGGAAACAGGTGTGAGTGTGAGGGGAAATGTGTTGGTGGTTATCTGTGTGTGCCACTCAAGTGAGTGCCATTCCACTGATCAAGGTCTACTTAAAGAAATCGTGGGTACCTGTGCCCTCAGTGGATGTAAGAGAGAGGGCCAGGTTTTCTCTTGAAGCTGATTCAGTACAATGGTCCCCAGAATTGGACACTGAAGCCTGGAGCCTAGAGCCAGCTCAAGCTGCCATCTCTAGGCTTAGCAGATTAAGAACAAACTACGAGAACACTGCTTAGATGAAATCTGAACCTTTGTTGTTGACTGATAATCATTTTTAGAGGGACAGAAAGAAGAATGCTCAGGAAATACAATATTAATAGAGTTTATCTGGGTGCAGTGCTGTATGCCTGTGATTTCAGCCCTCGCAAGGCTGAGGCAGTAGGATTACTATGAGTTCGACACCAGCCCGGGCTACATAGTGAGTTCAAGGCCAGCCTCAACTACATAGCAAGACCCTGTCTCAAAAAAAAAAATAACCCATAACAATATTAGTACAGTTTAGATTTTGGCTAATGTTGCATAACTGAAAAGGAGGAGGTGATTTATCTTTGAT